TAAAATGTATACATTTTCCAATAACATTATATTAATAAAAATATAATTTGACATCAGTTTCCTGGATTCCACTTAATTTTAAAGTTTCATAGTCTTTTGAAATTTCTTGGTATTTTTGTTTATTTTGTTAAGTTGTTTTTGAAGTTCTAAAACCTAAAAATAAAATAATATTGATATTTTAAACAAATAAATAATATTACATTAATATAAAATATACCTGTAGACAATATATGAGTTGATTAGAATACAAGAAGTATAAGTGACATTAAAAAACTATTTGAGTTAGAAGTATAATCAAACTGAAATAAATAGTTTCAATTTATAAAAAAATTGCATAAAATTCATGATAAACATTTTTTATTTACATAGTATTATAGAAAATAAAAACTGTCATTTATACACCTATGTATCTAAATGCCTCATATAAATGGTTAAAAATAATTTCATGTTTAAAAAAAAATATTTATATATAAATACCTTCAATTTAAAAACTTGATTATCTTGTTCAGCTCGAGTCTTTTGATCTAATAGAACTTTTTCTGCACTTTCTAATTGTTGTTTAAAGTGTCCAATAGCTAAATTCTGGCTTTCTAATTGTTTCTAATTATAATAAATTAAATTTATGAAACTTTTATTTTTTAATACTATAAACATTTTATATTTATGTCCACGATGTAAATCAATGAAAACTTATAAAAAAACGGTTAAAGAATATTATTAAAAATAAGAATAAAGTTTGAATGAAAATTTTTATGACTACATAATTTGGCATATAAAATCAAAAATAAATTGTTCAACTACTGTCAACTTAAAAGCTTTTTAAATAAAGCTTATTTAAAAAAAAAAGATTAAAATATTTAAAAACATACTTTTATTAAAATATTTAACTCAACTATTATTTAAAAAATGAATTATATGAATTCTAGAATTTATATTCTAATTTTAAATTCATAATATACAGAATAAAAGACAGGCTGCCTTAGGCAGCCATATTAAAATGTAGTGAGATTATTTAAAAATTGTATTAATATTTAAAAATAAAAATACCATTAAAACACTGTTCTTATTTTCACTAGATATAAGTTCATCAATTTTTCTGTAGGCTTCTGCTAATTTTTGATCCATTTCTTCCTTAATTTCTAAAATTCTATTTAATTCACTGTCTAATTTTTCATTTAAATCAATAGTTTCACTTAACTCTTGTTCCAAAATTTTAAATTTATTCATAACATATCTTAATTGTTGATTCAATTTCTAAAATAATAAAATAATTTTTTTTAATTTTTTGATTGATTGATAACAATTTTAAGACAAATATTCATTGAATTACAATTATTTTAAAAACATAGAGTGAGTATGTAGTGAAGGTAGGTGTTTACTGAAGAATAGACAGCCTTTCGTGCTACATACTCATATTATGTATTAAAAATGTTGTAACTCAATAAATATATATTTTAAAAACATTATCAAACAATTTTAGTGATAAATAATAAAAAAATATTTTTTGAATGTATACATATAAGTTATATTAACTAATATATATAACATACCTCAATAATGTGATTTTCCTCTTTATTTGTTTTTTCATCATTTATTTTACTTTCTAAATCTTTGATATAGCTTTCCATTTTTATAATATTGATTTTTAAATCTGCATTAAGATTTATTTCACCAAGTACTTTTTTACTAATGTCCGGAGATTTATGTAATAAAAAAAAAGTTTGTTAATTATAATGTAAATTATTCATAAAATAATATTATATATAAATTTAATTTTTCATTTAAACTTATTAGCTCAATTTCTTCTGATAAATCATACATTAGAAACTAACTCGACTAAAATAAGTGAGAGAAATATTAATTTCATACATATTTTTAATTATTAAAAAATGTAATAAATTTGTTTTAAATTTTTTAATATTAAATATTTTTAACCTCAAAAATTTTAAAAATAATTTCTATTATTTTTTAAATTCAATTTTAAATTTTAAAGAGACTTTTAATATTTTTAAGATAATTACAATTTTATCTTACAACAGTTCTTCTTGGTATTTTTTTAGATAATTAATTTCTATTTCTTTATCTTCTATTTCATGTTGTAACTCGTTGTTTTTTTTACGTTCGTACTCTAGATTTTTTTCAAGTACTGTCATTGAATTATTTACCTAAAAGTTAAGGTTAATAAAAAATTGAGATTATAATTTTAATAAGAGATATTTATCATGAATTACCAAATCTGGAGAAGTTTTATCAGAATCTAGATCAGAAAATGTTGTATTTGTTATTTCATCTAAAAATTAAATAAGTATCAATAATCTCATTATACAGTGCAATTATTATTTTTAATTCATAAATATTATTGGCTTCTTACAATCTTTATTTTTTAAATGAGCCATTAATAATTTATGATCTTCTGTGTGACTTGTTAAATCTTCAATTTGTTTTAAAAAGTCCATATTCATCTTGTGTTTTTGTTCTTGTGCCTCTGCTAGTAAATTACGATAACCTTGTAATTCATTTTCATGCAATTCTTCAACTTTTTTTAGTTCATTTTTTGCATGTATATTGTTCAACTTTAAATCTTCAATTTTTTCTTTTAGTTTAACATTTTCATTTTTTAGTTGTTCATACTCATAATTTAATTTTTCTATTTTTTCACTTAATTCTATTTTAAAGTTTTCAGTTTTTAACAATTCATTTTTTAGATTAGTATTCTCTTCTTTTAAGGATTTTGTATGTTCCAAAATTTTTTGGTCCTCTTTTAAGATATTATATTCATTTAAAAGTTCATTGTTGATACTTTCTAAACACTCAATTTTTTCAGACTGTATTTTATTATATTCTTTAAAAGACTCAAGTTTTTTTTCTAAAGTATTTTTCATATATTCTAATGGCTGAATTTCAGCTCTTAATTTTACACCTAAAGTTTCAAGTTCCTTTAATGTTTCTTGTTTTTTTTCAATTTCTGACAATGCATTATACAATTTATTAGTTAACACATTTTTATTTTCTTTTAAGCTTTCAATATGTTGCTCTAATGAGGTCTTGTCTGAGTATAATAATTTAATGTCTTCTTCCAAAGTTTTAATCCGATTTTCCATAAATTCAGTATCTTTTTCCATCACTTTTATTACAGCATTTTTTTCTTCTAGTTCCATTTTAGTATTGGTTAAAAGTAATTTCATATCATCCTGAAAATATAATAAGTATAATAATAATTTTTATTATTAAAAAATTAGCACTTTGATAAAGTAAAAAAAAAAAAATAATCTAGGATATAACATTAAACCAGTTCCTTAGATAGAAAATTATGTAATTTATCTTCTAATATCTTTATTTGAGATATTTTACTTACAGTTTTAAGCTTAACAAATAAATAAATACTATTAAAAAATACAGCTACATGATTTTTAATTATATAAGGTTTTACTAGCAAAGAGACAATAACATCAACAAATGTAGGAATCACAAGATCAACTGGGAGCAGTAGCTGATAAAATCGAGGGTCTAAAAGTTAGACCTGGGAAACTGAGCGGCAGTCAGAGGCGCAAGCTGAAGAGGAGCTGAGCAATCATGGAGGGACAAAAGAACCTACCAAAGGAGGGAGACAAGGGAACCGATGACTTGAAAAGGTCAAAGGGAACCGAAGCTCAAAAACCTGAGGACAAGGGTCAAGAACCTCCATGTAAGAAAACTCATTGGGTACCAACCTACAGGGACGTGGTAAACGATGATAAAAAAGTGGCTCTGGTCCTCGCAGGCTACCCCACTAACAAGTTGACCACAGAGCAGGGGCTACTCATTGAGTCTTGTGTTGGAGACTTGATACTGTCGGGTACTGATGGAACCGACGTACCAAGGTTTGAAGACACCAGACTCACTGATGGAGCACTTGTGATCAGTGCAGCCCAAGAGAGCTCTCTTAAGTGGCTCACTGACCATGTCAACTTGATAAAACCTTGGGACGGTGCAGAACTCCATTTGGAAGCCTACAACCCGATCAAGTATAAACGGATGGTCACTCACATACCAGGGCTGCCAAAAGAGTCTAAGAAGATCTTGGAAATTTTGGCAAAACAAAACCCAGGGCTGAACACGGCGATCTGGAAAGTCCACCATGAGACAGAGGTTGGCCCGAAAGGACAAACTTTGTTCCTAAGTGTGGACGAAAACAGCATGATCAAACTGGAGGAACTGAAGCGCAGTCCATATTTTGGAATGGGCAGAGTTTGCTTCACAGATTATGTTGCCAAGCAGCCACCAGCCCGGAAGGATGTGAAAAAATTCACACCTCAAAAATCTGGGAAGAGTAAGGCTGAGGAATCACCAGTACCACTTGGAAAAGGAGGTAAGAAACAAACGGACACACTTCACTCCTGCCTCGAAAGGGAAGGGAGGAAGTGTGTTACGTAAGGGAAAGGGACCCAGGAAACCGCCACCCTCAATAACGGCCACAGCTGAGGGGAACCTCTCCACGGATCCAAAAGGAAATGTAGAAAGCGAACCTAAGGTACGGTCGCCACCTGAGGACGACGGGAGGACACCACCCACAGGAAGGGCTGTGTGACACAGGGACTGTTTCAGACACCTGTATTACACCCAGTACAGCGTACTTTCTCAAGAGTCAACATCAGTTTTTCTGAATGGCTGACAATAGAATTCAATTCACGCAAATAAACCTACATAATTTAAATAATGAAAATAATTTACCTGTAAGTTCATATTTTCTTCAACAAGTTTTACAACTTTTGACTCTAAGCTTTTTATTGTATTTGGATCAATGTTTTCTTTTTCTACCAGTTTGGATTCATAAGTTGAAAGCATATTTTTAAGATGGTTTGTCAAATCATTTAATTTAGTGATCTAAAGTTAATGTAAATTAATTAATGCACAAGAATACAAATAACAATTTTGAGTATACCTCATTATTTTTATCTTCTATTGCTAATGTACATTGCTTATGTTCTGCTGTTAATTTAGCTATAGTATCGTGTAATAATGAAGTGGCTGAATCTACATCACTATTTTTAATTAATCTTAGATCATCAATTTTCATTTTAGCAGTTGTTAATTGATCATTTTTTTCTGCTAATCTAGTTCTCAGAATATTTACTTCAGATTCTAAATCCTATCATTTTTATTTAATTTATAATAATAATAATTTGTTATAGTAACTTTAAACAAATTTATAAGAAGCTTACTTTTATTTGTTTGTTAAGCTGCTTAGTTGATAAATTTTGATCAGATTCGTGTTTTAAAATAGCTTCTTCAGATTTGAAAAGTCTGTTTAAACGTTCTTGTATTCTCATAAAAACATCATCTAATGAGGCAACTATCCGATTTGGAGAACTATTTTTTTCTAAGCTGATATTATTGCGTAATTCACATCGTTCACTAAAAAATATTATTTTTAAATAATTGATAAAATCAATTCATATGAATTGATGGTAAAATTTTGATTTAGGTTAATTTTTATAATTATTATATATATAATATTTAATTATATATTAAATAAAAAAATAAAATTTATTTAGACTAATGAAATTTGAAAAAGACTAATATTTTTTTAAAGATCTTTATTTTTTTTAACTTATGTAACTCCGTAAATTCATTAGCAATAAAAAAAAATATTTTCAAATATAATTGCTCAAAAATGGTTTCTTACGCGACAGATATATCTTCAGAAGCAGGCGAATTATATTCATCAGTCACCCAGTATGAGTCTAGTTCTTTTATACGTTTAGAAATTGATTTCTCTAAATCTTTAAGCTAATGAAACAATATAAACATCAATAATAGTATAATTATAAAGATATTATGTTAAGTAGAAAATTGTATATACTTGTATTCTTATATTATTGATAATTATTTCAGTATCAATAAATTCAGAAGTATCAGTTTGATTCTGTTCTTCAAATAAGCTTCTTAACCGATTAGGCTAGTAAAACAATAAGTTAATTAATTAAAGTATTTTTGAGATTTGACAATTTTTTACTACATTTAAATTGATGATAATTTAAATATATCAATATATAATATTTTAAACATTAATTAAGTAAAAAAATATTTATATATAGATTATACTATAAGTATATTTATAAATTGCAATACAATTCATTTAAGGATAATTAAAAAAATATTAATATTCAATTATTGTAATATTTAAACCTATTATTTATTTTAAAAATATACTAACTTCTTGTAGCATATCTTGTTGAATTAGATCTTTTTCCTTTTTTAATTCAGCTATCGTTTTGACACACTTGGTGAAATATTGTTCAAGGACAGACTGGAATGGTGTCAAATTTTCACAATTTTTGATTATTTCTTGAACTAAAATGTTAATGTTATTGAATTAAATAAGAGTTAAAATAAATAAAAATATACTTTAAAGAATATTCATAATTTATCTTGCATAAATAATACAATTGTATTAGAAATAATGTATGTAATCCATACCATATTTGTACAACATTAATATAGAGTGTCCCTGTAAAGTATTGCTAATTCATACCTTTTTGATATAATGATATTAAATTTTCATTTTCAATAATGCCATTGCATATTTTATTAGAACTAATAGAAGACACTTTACTGTCGGGCTGTATTTCCATTTTGTCATTTTTGTGCTCAAATTTTAAATATTTTATTAATAATTGTTCATAATCAAACTTTTGTTTATTTAACTCCTAAAAATATATAGTATATATTACATGTAATATATATTTAGAGAGATTATTCAAACAAAATTATGTGAAATAACATCTCTATAATTTTTTATGTCTATTAAAGTCTAAAAATATAAAATATCTTGTTAGAAAAGATTAAGTATTAATTTTTTTAAAGTAATATTACTTTTTTTAATTTGTTTATTTCATTAATCAAATATGAAACAATTTTTTTGTGTTTAGCTTGTGTTTTTGTAATATCTTCTTCAATACGTTTAGTTAACATATCTAGGTCACAATCTTTTAAACCATTTAGGTGACTTTCAAATTGATTTCTAAGTTCTTCAATTTCCTGTTCATGAATTTCTTTTATCTTTTCCAATTCTTTTTGATATTCCGATCTAAGATTTTGTTTCAATTTAGAAATTTCTATGTTATTTTCTGTAAATATTCGTTTTATTTCATCACGATGTCTTTTTTCAATTTCATCTAGTTCAGTTCTATGCTTTTCACAAATACGTTCAAGTTCTTTATGATATATTTCATGTGTTGAATTAACTTCCATGATAAATATTTAATGAAAATTCTAAGTTTTTATTTTTTAATTTTTTCAATGAAGTTTATTAAAGTTAATAGTTAGTCACTGTGGCAACATAATAAAAATAACACATTTATTTTCACAATACTTCTTTAGATATAAAAAACTAAATAAGATGATATAACTGATTTCTCAATTATAATTAATAGTAAAGGTAAACGTCACAAGTTTGAAGGTGGACCGTTTATGATTTTTGTTATGTCTAGTTATTTATTTTATCGCGCGAAAGAACCTTTTTCTGACACAGCGGTGTCAACCACTCATTATTTTGCCGCTGACCGCTAGATAAGGCGATAAAAGAGAAATATAATTAAAATCGAATTGTTTATTAGTATTGATCCCTGCCAAAAAGACTAGCCATTGTCGATTTGAAATTGCCGTTAGATCGGTGTTGACTCTTCTCCATTCTTTCTTCTGTCATTGACCGTACTTGGGTGCACACTAGGGTGGCCCTCAAAAATCGAATGTCTTTTTTTTTTTTACGCTACCCCTTAATTTTTTTTTAATGGTCAAAAAAATGAGCTGTGCAAAATTTGGGACCGATCCGTTAAGGTTAACCCGTGCCCCCGGGCCTATTAAGTTAAGTCGAAGAGTCAAATTTAATAGAAATAACTAATCTATGCTCGTAACTTTTTTTTCTCTTAACTTAGAATTATAAAAGTAAAACTCAAGTAAAGGAAATTTTACAGGAAATTCAAAAATAATAACTTCAATGCTGTTTTCTCAATAAATAACCCACAAAAACACTACATTTAGTCATAAAATTAGTAATATGTATTGATGGCCTAACACTTGAAAAATAGTACTTTAAGTATTTTTTGGCCGTTTCTTGGTTATATTCATCACCCAAAAGAGAAACATTATATATTTTTATTGATTTACTAGGAAAAATTAAAATCCCAAGACTGTTATTTGTATTTAAAAGATATGATCGATGAATTAAAAATAATATCTATTAAAGGCGTCATGGAAACTGCTTATGGGAATAAATTACTATCAACACATTTTGTTGTGATATGCCAGTAAAAATTTTTACTCTATATACTAAAGGACATAGTGGTTATAATTCATGTACTATATGTTTTATTGAAGGTTAACTTAAAAATAATACAATGAGTTTTTAGGAACAAATTGTACTAAAATAATTCATTTAGATTTTAATAATCGTACAGATAGTGAACATCATATACCTAATAATATATCTTCACTCAATTCCTTACATAAATATGATAGATAGTTTTAGGTTTGATTATATGCATTTACTGGTCTAGTAAAGGAATCTTATTATATAATAGAACAAGGAAAAAAACGCTTTTCTGGGAAAATTACTTAGCGTGCTCGGAATTTCAAAATTTTTTTTTTCAACGAAAGTACTCGGTCACCAGATTCCGGGAAAATTATTGGCGAAGGTCGGAAAATTTTTGCCGCTCGCCCGCGAGCGTTTTAAAATTTCGACCGTTTTCGAGAAAAACGCTCGCTGACGCCAGCGTTTTACGACTTAAGGTTTGAAATTTTCATCAGACCCGCCCAATGACATTCCTGAGATATGATAAAAAAATCAATTCAATCCGTTCATTTTTCACCGTTTTACGAGCTTTTTTTTTTTTTTTTAAGTCCACGCGCATGGTTGTATTATGCGCAGTGATTCTTTTCTGCTGATACGTTTATTATGAACCTTAATTATATGGTGTATTATGTATTATTATTAGGACACTATTTTGCATTTGCCTTATATTTTCAAGGAATGTTATATGTTATATATAAATTTCATGACGTTATAATTATTTAAGTTTTTTACTTTCATTATAAGAACAGTACTAAGTTCAGAGTTAATAGTTTTCTTTTTTCTCATATATAATGTATGAGACTATGAGTTTATCTTTTGAATTGGGATTCATCTATGATAACTATGATGTTAATCGTTAAATCGCAGTTATCAATATATTTATCAAAATTAAATTTTTATTTTTATTTTTAATATTAATTTTATTTTAAATTGACAGTGTGCCACTTATAATAACCTGCTAAATTTTTTTTTAATTATTCTGTAATATAAACACAATTATTATATTTAGATTATTAATAATTTTTGTGTATAACAGGGGTGTATTTAAGAGAGATTGGCCCCTCCTTGAACAAGCACTATCAATATTTTTTTAGGCAACTTCTAATAAATAAGGACCTGATGTCCTTTTTTTTCATCATTACTTTAATTTTTTCAAAAAAATTTCTATAACATGTTTAACAAAGTAAAAAATATTAAATTTCCTCCTAAAATAATTTTTGAATAGGCCTAAAAGGAATTTCTCATTAAGAGGCTTCAACCTTATACCCAATACATTTTACTATATTCTTTTTTTGAATTTTCCTGATTTTAATAATAACATTTTTAGATATAGTTTTCTATAGTTTTCACTGATTCTGAAGTAATAGTTTTTCTGAAAAACACTTATCGTGCCCGGCGTAGCCGGGTACTTCTACCGGAATCAGTGGCCTACTTATGATGACGGCCCGAAGAGGCTTACGCGCCGAAGGCGCGTAAGGCTCGAAGGGCCCCGGGTCTGGGGCGGAGCCCCAGCTAGGCGGAGCCTAGTTGATTATATTACAGTTGGGCGTGATGAATAATTATCCTCGTTACGTTCTTATCACTAATCCTGTTTTTTTCATCTCTCAACTGCAAAATATTTTAACTAATTTATTATAATATTGAAGACTATTATCAAAAATCTATTGTATTTCACGGTTTAAGAGTCTGGAGTACATTTAAACAATTTTTAAAATAAAAGAAATTCTTTATTATAAAACATATTCTTAGAAGAATTTTTTTTAATTAAAGACCTTATAGCAATTGATAAATATGAACAAAATCTATGTCACAGTATGTTTTTATAAAAACCAAATTAATAATTTATCGATATTACAAAACATAAAATGAACATCTATAGCCCTTCATTCGACGCGGCTCCTTTTGGACCTAAAGAAGTCGCAGCGATCTCGTAGATCATTGCTATATACTTACTACTTTGGACGCGGCGATCTTACGGATCAAAAAAATTCACTGCGGACCCCTGAAGCAGATGGCTGATGACTAATGTACGACAACACGCACGTGAATACCACGTGACAGCAGGCACCACATCTTCATCTTCATCTTCGTACACATTACATTCCATTTCCCTTTTGTGTTATGACACAAGTTACACCTTCAGAATATATATTCGTGAATAACTTAGAAAGACAACCATAGTAATTCCTGTAGTCACTTATCTTATTGAGCACTAATTAAATATATATTGATTAAAAATATAAGTCACAAAAATGAGTTGATGATAAAACTAAATGCAGTACTTTATACATGAAGTGTATAAAGTACATGTACTAACATTCATCGATTGTACACTGACCACCGAGTGAGTAGTCAGGTCCCTTTTTATTAGAAATAATAATCAATTAACAATGCTTCTAGTGTTATACTTTCTAATGCAATTAATAATAATCTATTATTTACTTTTACTTTCTAATAATACAAATTCCTTAAAACTAATATTTACATATAGTTATGGGTTCATGACAACATACAACTTTGATTGTCATAATTGTGTTTAATAAACCACGAGGTATTATAGTAATTTATACATATAACGACATATTAACTTAGATTATACTTTTAATTAACTTAAAATTAAATTCCACCTATGGTCCGGTAACCATATCGGATAGGTGTGACACCTCGCCTAGGTGGTAGCGACTCTTGCATGGCAAACCATGTTATTGTTACAGGCCAAATTATTACTAAAAAGCCCTCTTCCAAAGGTATTAATATAAAATAATTTACTACACATTAAAATAAATATATCTGAATGTAAGATAAAAACACAACTATTATAAATAAAATATAAATTAACACAAAATACTAATAAATGTTTTAGAATATCAAAATTTAAATTTTAACCCTAAGTAGTCAAGTCATAACAATTGAATACTTTTAAAGCTTTTCTGCATGAACTAATTTTTTTCTCAAAAAAAAAATATTTATCTAATACTTTTTGATACTACATATATATGCTATAACAATCGCAGCATTTTTCAATCAATACCATAATAATAATAGAATTTGTAACTAATAATAGTTATCTTATAATTATCATTCATTTGTCTCTGACCGAAATATCTTGATCGGTTAGCAACAATTTGCAGTTAGTGTCATTCGCATCCATTGCTAAGAACAGTGATATGTACTGGAAATCACTTTGGTGCTTTCCATGCAATTGTATTAAGGGAAATGATGACTTTGACAAATTATCCCTCACTGGAGATATTCAGATGCCCATAAGATAGCTTTGGGAATTGAAATCATAGAGTAAATAGGACTTGATTTATCATATACTAACGAGAGGGATTTACAACTTTTCTTCCAGTTGACCGCCAAACAAGGTTTTGCTTTTGTTAAGTTATTACCAGGGCTTGAATCAAAACTGTTTAGATTTAATATTAAGTGATGAAAATTAAAATGTTAACAGTATTACGTTATACGTTTTACATAATTACATTTTTTTGGATTTATTGAGTTTTCCAGAATTTAAAACCTATAACTTTTTTTTTGTATAAATTTTTGCATTATTTAAGCGTTATTGATAATTATTTTAGCTCATTTGAAATTAACCCGACATTTCAGATGCAAAAATTCCCTCATTTATTTTTAGCTTCGATGCGAAGCTGAGAAGGTATTAATTTTACTATGATGTCTTTTAGCTTCGATGCGAAGCTGAGAAGGTATTAATTTTACTATGATGTGTTTTTTTATTTTTTTTTTTATTTTTTTATTTTTTTTTTTGTGTCTGTGAACGCTCAATCTCAGCTCTCGCTGGACCGATTTTGATGAACAATATGTCAAAAGATCACAAATCGTATCTAGTCGAAGACATTACCCTCAAAAATTGAAAAAAATTCCCTCGTTCCCCGTAAACGGGGGAAATCCCCCAAAAAATTACAAATTTAAAAATCGCTAATTTTCGATATTTTTTCAATTTTTTTTACTTAAAATTGCCATAACTTTTTTAAAAATGACCGAATCAATATAATTTTTTTTTTTATAGATACCTT